TAAATATTTCTAATATTATTCAAATTATTTTTTCATTTTTTTTTAGTTTTATTATTTTTTAAAATTTTGTAAATTAGTTGAAATACTTTTGAAATTATTTCATTTCTTTCATAATATTGTGAAATTATTTTATTTCAAAATAATTTCACATCAATTACAGTTATTTCGAAAGATTTTTAGTATGCAAAATCTTTCACAATATTTTGCATATTTATTCTGCTAATGTATAAGACCTTGAAACTGTTGTATGTTTTTTTTAGTTGTAACAATAGTTTCTTTACTCTTTTCCTCTTAATCTTTGCTTTGTTTGTCATTAGTATGTTTATATCTAGTTGCCAGTTGCTGCTACTAAGCTCAAGCTGAGCTTTTGTTATATAGTTATTTAATTTCCTCTACTTATTTGATGTTGTATGTATCTGATTTTTATTTTTCTTAGTAAATTAAGATCTACATGATAGTATAAATTATAAATCCATCTTTTAATTGTATTAATTAGGTGCATTTATTAATTCAAGTTGTTGCTGTGTAAAGGATTTCTGAATTATTAATTCGCAATTTATAAATATGAAAGAATGGAGAGAAACATGAATTCAAATACGTAAGCCGAAAATTTTTACGTACTACATATACGATAATAAAATTGGATAATCATTTTTGCATATATTCTAGAAACTACAAGCATTTGTTCTGGAACGTATGTTGAATATTGTCATGTGTCATAAATTATTTCCTTAAATAATTATTTGCGTATAAAAATATTTTTATTAAGACGTGTTTATAAAGGTTTTTTTATATATTTGGTTTTAAATAGATGTGCTTATAGAGGTTTTTTATATGATGTGCTTATAACAAGTGTGACTATAGAGAAGTCAGACTGTACTTTAATAATCTAAAACATTTTATAATAATTGTTTTGTAATGACTATGTAATGTTTGTATAATGATTTTGAACATTCTAATTAATTCAAATTCATACTTAATACGAATTGATTCGAATATTCAGTTATTCGAATATTCGATTCCAACCTCTAGTCGGCTAATCTTATGAGCTTTTAACCGACTACACTCACTAGCATCTTCTAATTCGCGCTTGAGTGAAGAACGAGATGTGAGACTTGAATCTTTGCTATTATTACCATCATCTCTACGTGGAAATATGGTGCATGGAGAAGCCATTGAAGGAGAAGGGTTTGAAAATTGTGAAATATATTCCATGTATCCTGGATCTGATATGACATAATCTGGTGGCATAATTCCAAAGTTAGTGTACTTTAACCAATGAGTACTGTAATCTTTCTGATCCCAACACTGCCAAATAGATTCATCATATTCGGCCTCTTTCTCATTGGAATTGCTGCTATTGCAGAGTTCATGCTTCTCTGTTGTCTCAGACTCTAAATCGACAATGTTTATGCAATTGCTATGTGTTTGTGATATCTGAGAACTATTTAATGATGGTGCAGTCAAGTCTATAACTGATATATCATTATCATAGTCATACGGCCAATTAAAGAGATCATCATCTGGAATGGACTTATCAATATCTATTATATTCTGTGATTCTTCTGTGACGGGCTTCTTTCCTTCGCTATCATCAAGTATGACATTGCTTGATTCGTCTTGTTCAAACCAGGAAAGAATGTCAGGGACCGCAGCACCAAAAGAAGTTCCTTCATCCATTGTGACTTTACCAAAATCATTGTCTAACATTTTACCCACAACCCGAAGTTTGGAACGTACTAATTGCCACTGAATAATATCTGCAATATTGAAAAAAGATAGTGTATTTCTTTTAATATTTAATTAAGAGACTGATAACCTATGAAAACTCATAATTATTGTTTTAACCTGAAGTATCTTTAACAAGCATATACTTGATATCAACACTACCTCGACGTCCAATTCTCTATACGATTTGTATGAACATTAATTTTATAATATATTTTCAAGTTACTCATTATAGTCGGTTAAAATGACTGAAAAGATCACAAACATGTGCGCGATCTTCGGCCTGTGCAATAACAATATAATTAATGTGAGGATAGTGATATATACAAAGATAAAAGAATATTTGTAAATATACACTTACTTGCAATAAAGTGGACGGGTTCCAAAATAATTCTGCAAATATAACTAAGAAATAAAAATAAAAGGATGAACGTTAAATATATTAATATATAGCAAAATATATGAAAGTACATACCCAAATCGGCCGCATGAAGTGTTAAACCAGTACTAGCCGCCGTAAGGGAAAGAACAGCTATCCGTGTTTTTTTATCTTCTTGAAATTGATCACATAAAGCTTGACGACGTTGCTGATTAGTACTGCCATCAATACGAATAAATTTAGCCTAAAACAAATCTCAACAGTAATGTAAGTGTCATGGTATCAATATTTGAAAGATACAAAAAAAACAAACAAACAAACCTACATTAAGTTTGGCTGAAAAATAATCAGTTATGGCATCAAGAACTTCCAAATGATGTCCAAACACAATAAATTTCTTTTCGGAATTTTCATATATCTCAGATAAATACTCCTGAATCGCAGGAACTTTCGAACGACCAGTCTCGGCCCACTTAAAAACAAATTATTATTATAATAATTAAACTTTTTTAAACTTTCCCATAATTTGAAAAGTTTTAAAACTCCTTACCATTTGCACCAGCATTGCTTTTCCTTTCATTTCAGCATCCTTTTTCATTTGCCCGTTTGATCTCTGTGCAATTCCATGAAGTTCTTCAGACTCCTTCTTCAATTTTCGGATTTCCCTTTTAGCAGTAGCTGAAATATCTAATATATACAAATATATAATGTTTAATAATATAACAAAAATAGCATTTAATAGTCACATTTGATATATTACCAACGTAAACAATTTGACGCGTTTTAGGAGGTAATTCTAACTCTACATCGGCCTTCAGGCGTCGAATCAAAATGGTACGCTCTAATAACCAGTGGAGCTCCTCCAAATTTGAAGAACCTATAAAAAAGGAAAATAATCGTGTAACGAAATTTGAATAAATAACTAGAATTATAGATAAAAGTATGAGCACTCACCAGAATAATCCCATCCGTACGGGCCTCTAGAAGCATTACAATATCTTATACCATATTGTGTGAATGTAGAAAAAGTTGTTTTATCCAATGCATTAGCCAATGAAAAAAGTTCAATAGGTTTTGATAATGCCTAAAATTCAAAAAGTTGTGAATACATAATTATATCAAATGGCGTGATTAACGAGTAATTCGAACAATCTTACCGGTGTTCCCTATGTTACGGCATAAAAATCCAAATAATTACGAATTTAATGAAATAGGAATAACAAATTTGTATAATTTGACTAACCGTAAGTAAAAGAGCTCGTGTAGCGTTTTGAATTAGGGGGCAGATACTTCTAGACCTTTTTGTCTAAAAAAGGAGATTGATAATCAGCACAAAACAAACAAAGTGTTTACAGATATCGTATATTTGTAACATACATCCTTGTTTTTCAAATAATGCGCCTCATCCGTTATAACAATGTTAAATTTATCAGCCAAATCTCCACCTAGTTTCGCAGCACAATCGTAGCTGGTGATCAAGAATTTGGGGGCAGGGCGATTAATTTTATCCTTAAGATGAAATATGACTTGAATTTGACTTTCCCTAATACCGAGCCATTTTTGAATTTCACCGCACCAAGTTAATCTTAAACTTGATGGGCAAATAATCAGAACTGGCCATTCTGATTCATAAACCTTGCAAATAGTAAGGGCTTGAATAGTCTTTCCGAGGCCCATCTCATCACCGAGTAAAATACGACCATTCTTTATTATCGCTTGAGTTACACCTTCTTTCTGAAAACTCATTAAAGTATCCCATAATTCAGAAGGAATTTTTTCATGAATCTCACGTACAGCTTCATTTCGTTTAGCCTCAATATCATCTATATTACAAAATAATTTGACCACATATGGTGGGAACTCATGGATATTCATTTTTATATCCTTGATATTCCTTAATTTTTGCATACAATTTTGGTACTGTGATAGTGGTATCACCCAGCCTCGTTCAGACACGTTAAAAAGAGAATTTTGAATTTCTTTCCATAATGATACTAGTTTTTGATGATAACCACGTACAATAAATTTATCTTTGTCGAAAATACAAAAGTATATATCCACTTTATCTTGCTGAGGGACTAATTGTTTAACTTTCTGGGAATTATTTGGCTGAACATTTTGCTTGCCCCAATCAGGAAGGATCCTTGAGCCGCTCGTAGAAGTATCGGCGGACAAATTGGACGATTTATCAGAAGTTGTAGTAATTGAAGAAAAATTTATAGGTTTCTGAGGCTTTGGAGCAGATGTTACGAAATTTATAGGCTTCTGAGGCTTTGGAGCAGATGTTACGGTTTGAACAGCAGTTCCAGATGTGTTTGAAGAAGAGTTGTCCCAAAGGAAAAAGCCACATTTTCTAAGAGGGCAAGAGTAAAACCAGCGTCCTTTATTGGGGCCTTCTTTTTTTGTCTCGTAATGAGTAGCATTTTTCCCACATTTGCAAAGCATTTCTGAACACGAGAAACTATTATTAATTTATGATCAAATATATTTAACACTATACGTATCTAAGCACGCGTCATTTATAAATTTTATAAATCGAAAATTTCCCGAAGATCGGTGCCCCAACCTTAACAGCGCCAGAGATTTTCGGCCACGTGATTTACGTAATAAAAAGATTCCTCGTCCCGAGTTAGGGTTGGAGTTAACGTTAAGGTGGGTGTATTTTAGTAATGCCGGCCATTGTTGTGCCCATAAGCACGTGAAACGTTGTTCCCGTAGCAATTTCATTTTTAAATCGCAGAAAGAGCATGACCGTGAAATCTTCCTATGCCCTGGAGTCGAATATCTTGGAATCATGATCGGCAAGGCCGGAATTAGCCAATTTTGCCCAAGATCACTAAAAGTTTTACTAATGAAGTCATGGCCCATTTATTAGTAAAGCTGCCCAGCTAATAATTTTGGCTTACAAATGGTTGACTTGTATTTCTAAATGCCGGCCTAAATCAGACGAATCCGACCTGGAAATTTGGTGATCCTTCTGATTCAAAATGTAAGTTTAAGCAAAAGTTAAAGCAAAAAAATTCAAGTAAAATTCAAGTAAAAGTTAAAATAAAATCAAAGTTCTAATGTTTATCATTACTGTATTACAGTCTGGAATATTTCTATATTTGATATTTCATATAGGCTAATTTTGGTTCCAATTTGATGATATTACATTACATAATGGCGAATTTTGATTATTGGGCCTAAATTAGATTACTATATTTATTAATTAGAACCCTAAAATGTTAATCACAAGTAGTCATCTGATCAAAAATTACTCCGTTTGTTTTTTTGAAAAAACCCTTAAAACAAATTTTAAATATAATATAATACTGTCTAATCAATGGCCTCACCTCAAAACTAATGGGTTTTTAAATGAAAATGGTATGTAAATATAAAGAAGAGTAATTGTATATATGTATTTTTTTTTTTTTTAATTCAGCAATCTTAATTGTTATATGTATATATATATTACTTGCTAGTAAAATCGTATTAACTTATACAGTATATTAAAACAATATAGTGTTTAAAGAAGAACTACTTTTGTTTTATTTATAAAATTAAATATTATTTAACTATACATGGTCTTACTCAGCATAAAAATGCTACTCATAAAGATTACAATATAATTTGATCTAGTATATTTCAATTACTAGCAGATCATATAGCAGAATTTAAAAAAATATTGGTATATGCAATTTAAAAATGGTTGTTTCTTTATTTTTCATATTTAAGAAAACAGTTGGTTAAGTTTCTTTGTATTAAAAGTCAATTTGTTAGTGTTTTTAATAGATATATAACCTGTTTTTCTCTGACAAAAAGTTCTTATTATTGCATATTTAAAAATAAAAATACATATAATATACTATCTGAGATTTTTGAAAATTAACAATAGGGTATAAGATTTTATGATTCTGGGCAGTGTGCTTATGTTGTTTTGTGTATAAAAGACTTGAATCAACAACAATCATCTTTACTACAAAAAGAAAATTTACAAACAAAATCAAATTTAAAAAAACAATTTGAAATGCATATTTAATGATATATCGAAAGTTTATTAGATATAAAAAGGCATTCTACCTCATTAGGCTATATTAATATTATTTTTAAAATAGATCATAATTATAAGTAACTTTGAAATAATAAAGGTAAAGTTTTTTTTTTAAAAAAAAATTTGTTTTTTAGTTTACATAAAGAAATATAAATTTATTAATTATTTCTTATTTCATCAATAGATTTAGAATCTAAATTTGTGCTTAGCAAAAAATTTAAAAATAAAATTAAATATTGATTTTTATATTTTATTTTACTTTTAATATCTTATTCTGTATAATAATTCAAGATGGTTAGATAAAAATAAGAATACTAATAATTGTACAAAAAAATATAATTGAATAGATTCCATTTGTTAAGACTGAATAAGATTGAATAGTTAGTAAAAATTCATATAAACTATCTAGTATTATTGTAATTAAGGTTTTATACTGTATATTTATAAAAAAGTTCTCTTTATTTTTTTAAAAATAAGTTGAATTATTATTCATTATATAACTTATTATTTTTTTTTTTATAGTTAAAGTCCCTATCTTAGAGATGTAATATTTTATTCAAGTTTTGTTAGAAAATGGGTGCCTTCAAAGACTCCCTTATATTAAAGGTTACAGCTAGCTATATATGCACTTTTGATGTCTAATTTAAGTAGTCTGCTTATGCATTGCTATATAGGTTCTACACTAGTTGCTATACCTGCAAGCTAACTAGGGGTCTTGCCTATTTAAACCCTCTGCATATACAATTCTCTTTGTATCACGAGAACATCTTAAGGCTACATCTATCCAAGTTCCTAATGCTTATCATTACCCTTAAAACTACTTTATTCTCGATAAAAAACTTATTAGAGCCTTTATGTTTCATACATATAGACTTAGTTTTATGTAACATGCTATAATTACTTAACACTTGCAGTCACAGGGATTACCTGTTTAACTACTATGTTATACTATTTCTACTCTTGTAAAGTTCACTAGAACCACAGTACCTATTTTTCTGACATCTTTTCTATCATCCCCTACTAGCCACAACTTGAAACTGTTGGTCTTATTCCAGAATACTAATCCAGATGGCCCAATATAATATACTTATGTATTCTTTTCTTTCAACAAATCTGGCAGCCTGGTTGGTTATATGTTTCTCTACACATATTTAATATCTAGTTTTAATCTTCAGCTTTTATAAAGATGTTTTATAGGTTTTAACTAGCCTGATGATACTGTTAAAAGTTCATGCTATTTCTTTACTCAGAGATTTCCAAATAGGTTTTCATCACTTCAGTTCCTTAGTCTTCTATGCCTAATGGTCTTATTGTAGATTTGCACTGAAGTCTCATGCAATACTGGTAAACATTCCTCTATGTATATGTAATGTTACACTTAATATAGATGCCTAAGCTCCCAATGTCAGGGGGACCTGACTTGGTGTATCTAAGTAACAGCCATATGAGGCTAACTGATCGACAGAAGACAGTTACCATAATGCAAATATAATTTTCAAATTTTATTGTAGGTGGGATTTGAACCTTAGACCTGCCACTTAGAGGATAACAACCCAACTACTACACTAGGATTGCCATCTTCATTGTATAATTTATTTTATTTTTTTTTTGATATTAAGGTGATCTCTTTGGTCTTTTGATTTTTATTAATCACTTATCGGTATTGTGGTTCAATGAACCACTACAGAAGAGCATACAATTGGTTATATGTGTAACTTTTCTATATTACCTATTTAAGAAGTCTACCCGAAGGTTCTCACCAATTGCTATACCTAACACTCCTGCTTGGGTGTTCCACTTTAAACTCTCTGAACCTGTAACCTGTGTTAACATCATTGGTTATCTCAGATGTACCAGATCATCATCCTCAATCTTAAGACTAATTTATCCTTGAGGTAAACCCCCCCAAAGTCTTCTGTACCTATTTTTACAGCTAACCTAGGTATCACTAT